CTACCCCCTGCGCGGGCCTGGCTCCCAGAGGGCCAGCATGGAGCCGGGGAGACGTCTGCAGCTCGCGGCGAGGCGCCGAGCCTTGCGGTTCCCTAGGATTGGAAACCCGTGTTCTAACCGAACACGTGGAGACCCGACCCACCCCGCTGAGGGGTGCAGAAGGCCCACTCTTCCTAACACACACGCGCGCGCGGGCACTGAGCAGGGGGCAGGCCTCAATCAAGGACCCTACAGGCTTCTTGGCCATTGGGTTAGTAGGGGAGGGGCAAGAGTTTCCTGCCCAATCTGCCCCCTCTCCAGACCCACCCACCCCACGTCTCCCAGGGATGTGGACACGGTCCTTTCTCCGGGAATACGGAGCCTTGAACAGGGCTCTTTCAACCCTAAAGAGGAACATTATGGTAAGACCATCATGTCCTTAGCCATAGGCTCAGGACCTCGGTGTCGAGGACGAACTGGCTTTGGCCAAACAGCTGTGTCCTGTCCACAGAACGATTCTTTGGGGCCAGTAGGTCGGTACATTAAGCCCTCGTTGGCAGATGGAGCAATGAAGGTTTGGAAAGATTCAGTTCTCACCCAAGAGCAGCCTGGGTTTTTTCAGTGGTGGTGCTGGCTCTTCCCCCACAGTACATGGCCGGGGTTCCGCCGTTTAGTGCGGCCGTGGGCCATTCTCACAGGGGTCCCCCACCTGCAGGTTTGCCATCACAGCCCATACCTTCTGCCTGATGGCCACCACCTGGCAGAAGGGAAGTGGGACCCCGTGTAAGGTATGGGGAAAGGAACCCCCAAAGCCTGAAGACGAAGTATCTGCAGTTTCATACTGCTTTTAACTCCCCGCCTTGCTTTGCCTGGAAGCCTTTACTGGATTATCCCCTTAGCTCATTCTTCCCTGCCGCCTACTACCTATTTTCCTTAGTATCACCTAGACATCACCTCTCCCAGGAAGTGCTTGCCAGCCACCCCGGTGTCCTTGCCCAGCCCTTTCAGCTCCCACAGCATCCTGGGCCTAGCTGCATCCTTACGCTCACAACACAGCTTACTGATGCATCTGATGCCTTTCCTTAACTGCGAGGTTCCAACAGGATCAGCCTGAAGTCAGAGCCGTTCTGGGGGGGCCTGGGAATCTGAGGAAGGCAGCTATTGTCGGGGGCCTTGGGATCAGAAAGCAGGGCAGGGAAGGCCACTGAGGAAGATTAGTGCCATGGCTCAAAGACCGAGGCATCCCTACACCGGGGCCTAAGGACCCAGGCCCAGGCCAGCTTCTGATGTTTAAGGGAGCGCATGACTCACTCCTGGGCATGGCTGGACTCCAGTCAGCCAGACACACAGGTTTCACCCAGACACTGACTCTTAAGCTACAAGAGGCCACAGGAATATATTAGCTTCAGAGGGCCTCATCCCAGGCCTCACCACCATCCCCTTCCCCTCCGACAGTAAAAGGTACATTCCAGAGCCAGCAGTAGGAGAAATCACTGCTACCACCGTTTTCCGGAAGTGGGGGGAAAGGGTGAAGCGTTGTGCCTTTGTAGGAGCTGGCCTGCAGGCAACCAGAGCCCTGGAAGGTCTGCCCTGCGCAGCTGGGCAGGGAGGATCTGGTACGACCCAGGGCAGTGATAAGCCCGAGCAGCCAGCAGCCCCCAGGCGGGTGGCCCCAGACAGTGTAGCCTTGAGAAGCAGTCCCCACAGCCACCAAAAACAGGGCTCCTCCCTCCAGTCCTGCTGTGGCAAACCAGGAATGTTTGCACACACGCACGTGCATGCACACACGCACACCGCAGTGCAACATAAGCCAGCTACTCAGTGTTCCCCACCAGCCCACCCCCAGGATCTGCCCCTGCCTTCCCTTTTCTTGGCAGATCATGACCCAGTGACCCAAATGTTCACTAGCCCACTCTGCTCTGCCTTCAATCATTGTACCCCTGGGCACCCACAGCTGCTAAGCAGGATCAGGGCTTCCCCATTGCCAGACGCGGGATGCCCACCTTCTCAGACCACGGAAAAGCCACAAAGGGGAAAAGAGAGACGGGAGACAGCAGCCCTGACACAGGTTTTTCAATT